TGTATTTGTGGTTTCCCATACAGAGGTGCACAACCCTATCTCTGGTGGTTTGTTATGGGGATTCATCTGGAGGAGGAGGGCACTTTTACTAACCAAACAAACGTACCTTCTGCCTAAACTGGCCTTCCCCACTCCCTAATGAAACCAGCCTAAATCAAGCTACTCTTACCCAAACTAGCAAATTTTCTCAATACTCGAAAGTAGTTAAGTGAGAAAAAGAGATAATGTTTTCTTGTCACTTGCCATAGCTCATGGGTAGCACCATCATTTCCCGAACTGAATGACCCTGGTTCCCAAAAATAACTCCAGGGCTATTCAACTGCTTATACTTGGCATATTCTTCATTCTTATTTGGGAAAGCACATTCCCTTCTCCAGCTGAAGAAACTCAGTGTCTGAAAAGAGCTGCCTAAAAACACTTCTCCCTCTGGGCTCTTAAAAATGTTCAGCATCTGAATGCTGGCAGAGAGAGCTCACACCCAGTGGAGGCCATACTCTGTGGACTGAGCAACAGAAAAATGGGGATGCTATATATGGAAAACAGGAAGCAGAACTCGTTGAGGCAGCCTCACTTATAAGTAACCCTTATTTAAAGCCATAATCCAGCAACCATTATCTAGAAAAGGAAAAGACTTAATAGCTTTGCCTGAGTTATAAGGGACACAGTGCAAATCAGGCCAGACCGTTCTGACATTTTCCACCTTACTTTTAAATAAGCAAAAGAGTAAAGTTCCAACTAAAGCCTCAGGACAAGCTAGTCAAATACATGGACACATATGATGTATATAGAGTTGCAGCAAACTGAATTTTTCACGGTTGCTCTGGCAATTAGGGTATTGAGGGTTGTTCATGAAATCAAAGTCCCCAAGCCAAAAAAACAAGTTGCAAAATAAAAGCACTTCCAGTTTCTCTGCATTATAGGATTATTTGCATGTTATTTGTCTATTTGGAGACAGAAAAAGAAGGAACTGGAAGGACTGTCTCACTCTTTCTTGTTTTTCTAAAAGTCAGTTAATTCCCAGGGCCACTGCTTTTCTTTAACCAGAGCACACAGATTCACATTTTAATAGAGGGATTTTAGTTTCTTTTTTCTTTTCCTTGGAAAAGTTTCTTTTAAGAAGCTCTTCATAAGATTCATAAGATTTATGATTAAGAAGTTCTTCTACATTAGTATTATAAGACATCATCAGCGACTTTTATTCCTTCTCTCCCCATCTGCTCATCTTTGTCCCTTTTTTAATATTTAAAGAGGAATTACCTTCTAACTCACTAGAGGTGGCAGGTGAGGAAAATATATCTAGGTCTCTCTGCAGAAATAGTTCTTAGAAAAGTTGCTGTTGACTTAGTAACTGTCAATCAATTTGTTCCAGAACCCATCACATACATTTATAATGATATTTAAAACACAAGTCTTGGGATGCCTGAGTGGCTCAGTCAGTTAAGTGTCTGCCTTCAGCTCCTGTCATGATCCCAGGGTCCTGCAATCTAGCCCCATGTTGGCTTCTCCCTCTCTCCCCTCACCCCATGCTCACTTTCACTATCTCTGTCTCTCTCTCTTTCTCTCAAATAAATAAATAAAATCTTAAAAATAAATAAAACACAAGTCTTGTTGACCGACCAGCCTACTTTTCAAAGATTTTCCTAAATTAAAACTCCACTGGGGCATTTTCATTATTAGGAACTCCTTCATTTAGCACACTCATCCCCACAGTTTTCCCCCATCATTGATGTTAGAATTGGTTTTCACCTGTAAATCTGGAACTTGATTTTTAATGTGTCCCCATGGACTCCCTATGAGTTTGTAAAACTATTTCTCATTCCTTATTATCTGGACGCTCTTATGTATCAGATGACCATAGAATCTACCATTCATATCCGGATGTAATTTTGGGAAATAAAGGGGTGCTATTAATAATTATGTTTGGACAACAAACTCTGGCTATCTTGGGCATACCAGGACAGAGAGTCTCCCTGCTTATTTAAAAGCGTTCTGGTGTGGATTGTGCCAGAGTGTGCCAGTCAACAGCCAACACCAAGAAATATTTGGTCTTAGGTATACTCCTGTTCTTACAATGCAAGTATTTATCCTTTGTTCTAAGCACACAGAATCCTCTGATGCTTATTGCACTTTGAAAATGATTTATAACTGAACACATACTAAACTATTTGCCCATAAATGTTTATACTGTTTAAGGTTGTTTCCACTGCCAAAGATTGAAAAGCTTTCAAGTAATCATGGGGTGATTTGTGGCTTACTGAACAGGGTCATGGTGAGAGGGTAAGTCCCAAGACTGTTCAAAGTGCAAAAGAAATACAGCTATCCACTCTTGAAGCCAAAATTGACTTACTCACTCCCCATCTTGGATTTCATAATCATGGGATTAAATATAACCTGCTAGATCTAAAGGTCAGTAATCAAACTGTGATCCCACTGTTTAAAAGAGATAATCAAGTTCCTAAGCACCTTTAGTTTCTTTTGTGCCTCACTAAATATTAGTGGTTCCTTTCATTTTTGTAAGCCTATCCTTTAATCATACATGGAAGTAGGGATTAAAGGTAGATTGAAGGGAACCTCTGTATCCAACAGTCTTTGCCAGTGAGCAACATTGAAACTTCGCTTTGGAAAACAGTAGGTGAATAAAGATACATGGCCTTCCTTTTAAGATTTATTTATTCTAGAGAGAGAGAGAGGGGTAGGTGAAGAGAAGAGGGAGTGGGAGGGAGAAACCCAAGCAGATCTGACACTGAGTGTGGAGCCCCGACACGGGGCTCAATCTCATGACCCTGACATTAGGACCTGAGCCGAAACCAAGAGTCGGATCCTTAACCCAACTGTGCCACCCAGGTGTCCTGAATAGAGAGGTACATTTCAAGGAACATATAGTAGTATGGTGATGAAACTAAAGGAAAGACCAACTTTTAATTATCAGACATAACAACTTATGAGATGGAAGAAGACAACTGATAACTGGGAGACAGTATAGGTACAAATGTAATTTGTTTGAAAGTTAAGGTACCAATAGATATCCTATCATGATACGATCTAGCAGTGTGACTTACACTATTCCTACTTACTAGGACTTCCTGCTCAGCATAGTAAAACACACCAATCCTTTTTTTTTTAAGTAGTCATAAATTTCATAGTTAGCCAACTATTCATGAATAGTTATATGAAATCATCTGTACAGCATACTCCTGACCAATTACTGTTTTTCTCAGATAACATGTTTTTTTTTTTTTTAATTTCTCTTTTTTTTCAAGGCTCAGGAGTTCTGTACATAAATTGCTACTCACACTTCAGTTTAGCCAAATGTTCTAACCTGGCCCCAAGGGAGCAAAAGGACCTTTTATGCATTTATCAAATATTAGCTGAGCCCTTACCATGTGCCCTGGAACAGAGTTTGATACTGGGATTAGAGAGATGATTCAACTGCCCTTGAACTAATTTAGTTTAGGGTTGTACAAATCTAAACCTCATAATATTGTGTTGGCAAAGACTGCCTCCTCAAATCACACACAGGGAAAAAAATTCTGGGAAATGTAGTGCAAATCAATTCTGTTTCATCTTTGAACTTCAGTCTCCCATGTTGAGACCAGACTACTTCTGATTAATTTTGAACAGTGGTGTAACCAACAATACAAGAATCCCAAATTCTTTAAATCCAAGAATGTTGAGGTCTTGTGGCAGCTTTACTATTGGGATAGTAATACAGAAACATCATTTACCCTCCAGTCCTCCATTAAGTGGGAAAAATCGCGTTCATTTCTTCTTTAATCTCTTTAGAGATTATCTAACAGATTTGTTTTTCTGGTGAGCGAAATGCGAACTTTCCACAGGCAGGATTATTTTATTTTCTCTTACTTAAAATTGGCAGCCAAATGGGCATCTAGCTTCTAATTTCCTCCACGTGAAACACTACTTCTCGGTTTCACAAATCTTATTTGAACTCTATTCCCAGCAGGGTGCTGCGAGCTGGCCAGGTGGCAGGGCACAACATTTTCTGTTAAGGGGATGGCAGCTTGCCAGCAGCATATTCTGAATTACTGGGTTTCAGTATGATGTTGGGTGGTACAAGTTTCAATCCTCTTATCAAAATGTGTCCAGCCTGTCTCATAATGAATGTTTCCCTTCTCTTTCAAATGTTCCTTCTCCAGCACTCTTCTCCACCTACTACTAAAAAAAAAAAAAAAAAAGAAGAGAAACAGACACTCCATTCTTATGGAAGAGACTTTTCCTCCTATCGCTGTTCCCCTAAACGGATCTCCAGATTAATCTAACAAAAGCAGATCCCTCACTCACCAGTTTTTTTTTTTTTCTCTAAAACTTTCCTAAAAATCCATCTTCCTTGGCATCGCCCTCCTTCCTGTCTTCACCATTGCATAGACTCAAGTCAAGCAAACGATCGCTCCAGAAAACAGGGTTAACTTTAGCGAATTCCCTTCCGGAAGTGAAACGTTTTGGGCCCCACGAAGCCCGGTAGGGTAGGTGGCTGTCTGGGCTCCCGGGACAATCCCGGGCTAAAGGGACCTTTGGGTGTGGCTTTGGGAAAGTAGAATGTAAGCCGGGAAAGGAGTCCGGCCCCAGGTTCCCTGCGGCCCATCCCGTCTTCTCTCACAGGGGCCTGAGAGCTTGCCGGGGCCGTGCGGAGCCCTGGGGCTCACCCCAACGCTTCCGTCCCTTGGCAGGAAAGGAAACTGAGGCACGGCGAAGGCGGGCCGAGTCCCACGCCCCGCCCTCCGCGACTCCCCCAGGCCCTCTCGCCCCACTCCTTTGTCCAGGCCGCGGTCTTCCTGCCTCCTCCTCCGCCCCGCCGCCACCTCCTCGCCTCTGGCGCGGCTGACGCGTCCAAGCAGGAATGCGTTTCCGGAGGGAGAGCGCGGCGGCGGCGGCCTGAGGAGCAGGATCAGCCGCGCGGAGGAGGCGGTGCCGCGGTGGTCGTTTCCTGCCGGGAGGCGGCTCCGGGCCGCCGAGTCTCCTCCTCCCACCCCCGAGGAGGAGGAGGAGGAGCCGCCGCCGCAGCCCGCCGCGCCCGAGAGCCTGGAGGCCGCGCCAGCCCACGGGAGAGACCGAGCGGGAGCCGCGGAGCAGCAGGCCCGAGCCGAGCGCACCGGGGCCTGGACGCCGCCCGGAGAAAGTAGGCGCCTTGGGGGGGGGCGGGGCGGGCGGCGGCCGCGGGACTTCGGAGTGCCGCTGGCCCTCTGGCGGTCCCCGCGGGCCGGGCCCCGCGTGGGGGGGACGTCGGGGCCGGGTGGGCCGCCGGGGCCGGGGCGTGGGTGGGGGCGGAATGCTTGCCCTGGGGCGGCAGAGGAAGTCCGGGCGGGCGGCCGCGCTCCCGGCTTCTCCCGTGGCCCCTCTTGCCCTCCCCAGGCGCCGGCGGCCCGAAGGCGCGGAGCCAGCACTGCCGAGTTGCGAGGGGGGAGGGTCGCAGGCCTGGGCGCTGTCACGTCGGGGCCGGGGTCGGCGGAGGACCCGGGCGCGCGAGCAGCCCCTCGGACACCTGCCATTCGCAGCGAGCCTTCCCGGCTCGTGGCCTGGGCTCCGTGGCGCGGGCTGACCCCGCGCGGCGCCCAGGTTTTCGTCCTCGCCTCCGCCGCGCGCAGGTGAGAAGGCGAGTGGAGGCCTTTAGGACTTTGAACGAACCTTGACGGTTTCCCTTTGTTTCCCTTCCTGTCGCCGGCTGCTTTTCTCTGAGCACTGTTGAGTAATTCGCTTCCAACTTCCAGAAGTTGGGCCCAGCCTTCAGGGCCTGTGGCCTGGGATGAATTGTAGGGTGGGCCCTAACAAAAGTTGGAACCGTGGAGCCGCTAGGCAAGGAAGGCGCGGTGTTGGCATATATATATATATATATATACATATATATATACACACATATATATGTGTATGTATACATATATATATATATTTATTTATTTATTTTTTTTTTTTTTTCCGCTTAATGTTTATGAGGCCGCACTTGAGTGTGAGGTCCCTCAGCAGTGCGAGTCCCAGGCGCTCCGCAAGATTCAGTGCCCGACCCGCTCCTGGTGCCATCTTACTACGTGTCAATTCTTGGGCTTCCTAACAAGTTGTGGTTTTAAGAACACTAGTATTTTATGCCGAAGTCATTTTTATTTCACCAGATTTGTGCTTGGGAGTCGACAGTCTTGCACAGTAAACTACCCTCTTTAGGCTTCCATTTCCTCATCTGTAAAATGGGAACAAGAATATCCACATTAATAATAAAAGTAGCTATTATAGTAAGGACAGTGTGGGCCATGCTTAGCTCTAGGCACTTTACCTGTATTTTCTCATTTTATCCTGGAACCGATACAATGAGGTAGGTGCCATTTTTATCCCCATTTTACAAATGAAGAAACTGAGGCACAGGAATGCGATCATCCAGCTAGCGAGTAGAGAACCCATGGGGTCTAGCGGCTGAGCCCATGTTTGAACCTTCCATAACTACAGTATACTTGTGAAAATCCAATATAATACATAAAACAGTTCAGAGTCGAGTAGGTGTTCAATAAATATGACTTCTTTTCATCTATTCTTCATATATTAAAAAGATTTTTAGAAAAAACTCAGGATGTAATGGATAACATCATTAGCAAGGTTTCTTTGGGGCTCAGTCCACATAGATACTTATGTGGGTAAAATTACTGGGTGGTTATTTTTTGTTGTTTTGATGGTGCAAAAATAATGTGAAATGAATTTTGATTAGGCGTCTTTTTTAATGTATATCCTTAGGTTATATTAATAGACCACATTTAGAAATGATTAGGAAATTTTAGATGAAGTTTAGCTTATTCTATATTTGGGGACATCTACATCCAGAGGGGATAGGACATAAGAGTTCCACTACAGTGTTCATATTTTTAAATAGTTTTTGTTCATTGATCAATATTAGATGAGTGACTTAAGATAATGAAGTGATACACAGGAAACAGAAGAAACAAATCAGTAGTTTGGAGACAAGTCTCTGAGGAAAGAGCCATTAATTTATCCTAAAATTCGGTATAAAATGGAAGATGTTCTGAGAATGTTAGCTAAAAAGACAGGGGATGTGGTTAATACTTCTGTAAATAGAAAGCAAGTCAACTCCAAATTAAGGCATCTGTGTTGGCTTCACAGACCTGAAATACTGTTTTTGTAATGTTAACGTTTTTTAAAAGAATGCTAAATTCTATATTATAATTATTTTATGTTATAATACCTTCAATAATCGTATATGAAAAAGTATAGAATCAACAATTTTGAAAACTGCTAGATTTAGTAATTTTAACAATCATGTAGTTTTTCCTTAACTTCCTAGTCAGTATAATTAAAATCTGGCCCCAGTTTCCATCACTGAATGAATATGAAGTTCTATATTGTTAACGATAAATTCCTAACTCTGGAGCTTCTCTGGGGACATCTGGTCACTTTGTAATAGAATTAATCAGTTTAATGTGCTAGTTTTAATGGAATGCTTGCCACATAATAGCTTTATTGTTGGGATTCTTGCCAAATAAATTGTAGGGTACAGCATGGGGGGAGTAGTATAATAGTCTACCTCAGAAAAATATTTTTCTTTAATATTCAGTTGGTGCACTGGTCTGCTCCTAACTACACTCCTGGAATGATGAGATGAAACATCTTCTGCCTGTTCAAAGTTGCAGAACTTCTGAGTGCTGAGATTTTCAGTTTCTGAATGTGTAACAAGCCGAAAGTGTCTGAGGATTTATATGGACTCTTGTTAAATATAGAAGATTTCCCCACTCTGCATGGAAAGTTAGGATGCGTTAGGTTGTAGGTAGATCCCTAGAGGACTGTATTGTGCAAATGTGTAAATGTCTCTTGTTGTATTAACAGGTCTGTTCAAACTTTGGTTATATATTGTGGGATTTTTGTCTTTTTTTGTTGTAGTGGGAGTCTTGGGGAAGGGCGATGGGTTGACAGGGATAGGAGTAAGGAAGAGTATATTAGTCTTCAGCATCCTGAAATGGTAGCAGTATCTATAGATGTAGAAAGCTGAAAAAATACTATGGTATGTACTTGGGTTAAAGGAGGTGCAGTCCACAAAACCCAGAAGATTAGCAACCTTAGTGGGTAGGTGAAAAAAATGTGGTATCTCTTCTTTAGGAGCCGTGTGCAAAAGGAGCCAAACTGTACTCTTAAATTTCTCTTCTTTACAGAGATGGCTAATTGTAAGACTTACAGAGTTATGTTTATAAAATAATACAGAGTGAGTTTTTAGAAGTCACCTACCTTTAAACTTAATTTTTGGTTTGCGGTTTTTGATGGTAAGGTTAACTGTATTTAGCAAAATGCTAAATTGTGTATATCATCTTGAAATATGTATGAGTAAAAAGAAATGGCTTCAAATATCCATGCTACATACCTAAATAAACACACACACACCCCCCCATATAGATGTATATGTATATATGTTTTACTGACTGGACTAGTGTCATTATACATCTCTAAAGTACAGGTTCCTAGACCCCAGGGATATATAAAATGACTGATTGAAATATAGGAAGAAAATACAAGGGTTAATATCATATGTACATATATATACACACACATATATATACATATACATACATATATATACATATACATACATATTTTTAATCTTATTTAAAGTTTAAAATTTTTGTTATTTTTAATATCTTACTATATTGCTATAAAAATGTATTTTAACATAAATAAACACATACTTTGGGTATATGTTAGCTCAGAAATCTTTTCAGTGATACAAGCGAGTGATCAAAAAGCTTTGGAAGTCATTGGTGTAGGGGGTGCTTTGGGTGTGGATACAAGCACTACTGTATTCAGGAGGGAGAACTGATGAGACTTGATGTCTCAAGTAAGGGAGGCGAAAGATACCCAGAGTGACACAAGTTTCTGGTTAGGTGGTGTCATTTCCCAGGACAGGCAGTATGATCGCAACGGGGTGGTGTACTGGTTGACTCGAAGGAGGGGAAATAATGAATTTATAACGCCGAGTGTTTTTATTTTTTTATTTTTTTTTAAAGTTTTTATTTATTTATTTGATAGAGATCACAAGTAGGCAGAGAGGCAGGCAGAGAGAGAAGGGGAAAGCAGACTCCCTGCCGAGCAGAGAGCCCGAGGCGGGGCTCTATCCCAGGACCCTGGAATCATGACATGAGGTGAAGGCAGAGGCTTTAACCCACTGAGCCACCCAGGCGCCCCACGCCGAGTGTTTTTAAAAGTGACATTGGTAGAGATGTCCAGGAGCTCAGTTGAATACACAGATTATGAGCTCAGAACAAGAAGTCTGGTTGGGAGATTCAGATTCTGGGATTCTTAGTCTGTAAGTGCTAGTTGAAGCTCTGGGCTGCTGCTGAGAACACCAAAGGAGAGTATGCAGAGTGAAAGGGGGCCAGGCAGAAAGCCTGGGAACACTTATAAACAGTCTAGGACTGGTTGAAGGAAAAGGAATCCAGGAAAGCATTTCCTGCCCCCGTTTCTTTGAATTTCTAATTCCTTTGTGTGACAGTCTAGTGAGTGATTTGGGTCTTGGGGAGTTTTTTTCTGTGATTGACATGTTTGAGGTAAAGACAAAAAGACTTACTAGTCATTTTAGACTCATCATTAGAAGAGCTGTTTGATGTACTAAAGGCTTTGTGATTGGGAGGTGGTGAACCTGGGTTTCAGTGTAAGCTGTGCGGCTGAGTTCCTCTGTGACCTTGGCTGGAATACTTTGCCTTCTGGGGCTTTGGTTTCTGCAGCTACACCATCAAGAAGTGGTCTGTAGGTTTCCTTCATTCTGTCATTCTGTGAGTTTAAGGATAGCTACCACTCAACCCAGGCAGTGTGGAGCGCCCCTCTTCTCCCACGAGCATCCATTTTCTTGTGTCACCAGAGAGGAGGGGTGCTGTGGCAGGTTATTGCTTTAAGAAAACCTGCCCGCATTGACCAGCCACATCTATTATTGTGAGCTCTCGTCCGATGTAACTCTGCTGTGTGTTACCTTTTAATCCGTCAGTGTACTGAGTGCCAGTTATTTGAAAAATGCCGTGCTCAGTGGTTGTAGATCAAGCGGTTGACATGGACTTTGCTGTTGAGTATGTCGTCTAGTTAGGACAAGTTGTGTTTAATCTAGGGAAACATAACAAGTACCAAAGAATATTTTACACAAGGTAC